CTTATAGCACGGCGTTAAATTGACAAAACTGAAACTTGAAATATCGATGACATAGAACTGCGCCATTGCCACAGGAGAGGTGCAGCTTAACCAAAAAGGGGTGGTGGTGGACGTCCTGAAATTGGTGGTCTAGGAGGAGGTCTCGGCGGACTGATCTGAGCCCCTGGTGGTGGACGTGATGGAATGATGGGAGGACGCGGAGGGTCAATCGCAATATGTTGAGGCCTTGGGGGGCTGATTTGGGCTCCTGGTGGTGGACGTAAAGGATTGATAGAAGGACGCGGAGGGTCAATCGCAATATGTGGAGGCCTTGGAGGGCTGATCTGGGCTCCTGGTGGCGGACCTGAAACATTACTTACTTTCAGCATCGATCTGATTGAAAGTTTGGAAGTTTCAGGGGCTAAATTAAGTAAATTTCTAAAATGTTTACGATTTAAGAATGTCAAGCAACTATTAATTTGGAGAAAATGTAATCAATCAAGCTAAAACCTTGAGAACTCGTTGGAACCATCAGTACCAACAATACTAGCATATGAATTGCCACAGCCATTTTCCTAAACTTTCAATTTTTAGTATGCTAGATAATCAAATATTTCATGGAATTTTGCGCAGTGAATGCCGCGGAGCTGATCTCGATTTACAAAGCGCATTTCAAACACGAAAACTTGAGGCGTGTGAAGTATACCGCTAACATTTCATAGAGCTCGAAATCACTGCCCGCCAGCTAGGCTTGTCTCTCTCTCTGTTCTCTCTTTTTCACAATTCCTTTTTGTACTCATCTTAAAAATTAGTTACACGAATGTTCATCACATGGTGGGTAGGAGGCTGTTTTGATGATTTCCACTGCTGCACGCATGCAAAATTCAGTCTGTATTTACAGCTAAGGGATGAAACACAGACTGCATCCTAACATGTCTTCGTACAAGTGACACTTAGTCTAATTTCTTTAACTCTACTCTATATCAAATAAAATTCAAATTTCCATCTCTTTGAGCAGAATCCTCGTGATCGCAAGAATAACGCTGTGGGTGGAACAACACTCAAAATATATATGATCGTAAAAAGATATGGGCGAAACAATACTCTCTGGATAAAATTGAGGCCTGTGCTTGACGCCCTGGAGCA